GTCCTTCTCGTTCATCATATACACTAAAAGTAAGTTCCCACCATTTGGAGGCACAAAGCTACATTTCGGACTCCTTACCTCTTCCGGTTCCCAAATTTGGTCCATTTGATGTTCCTCCCTTGGATTGAGACCGTTTCATCATGTTTCTCCTCATAGTCATGTATAGAACCTATTAATCCATGTTTGGGTAAGTATGGGTCCGTCTCGTTCATCATATACACTAAAAGTAAGTTCCCACCATTTGGAGGCACAAAGCTACATTTCGGACTCCTTACCTCTTCCGGTTCCCAAATTTGGTCCATTTGATGTTCCTCCCTTGGATTGAGACCGTTTCACTCATGTTTCTCCTCATAGTCATGTATAGAACCTATTAATCCATGTTTGGGTAAGTATGGGTCCGTCTCGTTCATCATATACACTAAAAGTAAGTTCCCACCATTTGGAGGCACAAAGCTACATTTCGGACTCCTTACCTCTTCCGGTTCCCAAATTTGGTCCATTTGATGTTCCTCCCTTGGATTGAGACCGTTTCACTCATGTTTCTCCTCATAGTCATGTATAGAACCTATTAATCCATGTTTGGGTAAGTATGGGTCCGTCTCGTTCATCATATACACTAAAGTAAGTTCCCACCATTGGAGGCACAAAGCTACATTTCGGACTCCTTACCTCTTCCGGTTCCCAAATTTGGTCCATTTGATGTTCCTCCCTTGGATTGAGACCGTTTCACTCATGTTTCTCCTCATAGTCATGTATAGAACCTATTAATCCATGTTTGGGTAAGTATGGGTCCGTCTCGTTCATCATATACACTAAAAGTAAGTTCCCACCATTTGGAGGCACAAAGCTACATTTCGGACTCCTTACCTCTTCCGGTTCCCAAATTTGGTCCATTTGATGTTCCTCCCTTGGATTGAGACCGTTTCACTCATGTTTCTCCTCATAGTCATGTATAGAACCTATTAATCCATGTTTGGGTAAGTATGGGTCCGTCTCGTTCATCATATACACTAAAAGTAAGTTCCCACCATTGGAGGCACAAAGCTACATTTCGGACTCCTTACCTCTTCCGGTTCCCAAATTTGGTCCATTTGATGTTCCTCCCTTGGATTGAGACCGTTTCACTCATGTTTCTCCTCATAGTCATGTATAGAACCTATTAATCCATGTTTGGGTAAGTATGGGTCCGTCTCGTTCATCATATACACTAAAAGTAAGTTCCCACCATTTGGAGGCACAAAGCTACATTTCGGACTCCTTACCTCTTCCGGTTCCCAAATTTGGTCCATTTGATGTTCCTCCCTTGGATTGAGACCGTTTCACTCATGTTTCTCCTCATAGTCATGTATAGAACCTATTAATCCATGTTTGGGTAAGTATGGGTCCGTCTCGTTCATCATATACACTAAAAGTAAGTTCCCACAATTGGAGGCACAAAGCTACATTTCGGACTCCTTACCTCTTCCGGTTCCCAAATTTGGTCCATTTGATGTTCCTCCCTTGGATTGAGACCGTTTCACTCATGTTTCTCCTCATAGTCATGTATAGAACCTATTAATCCATGTTTGGGTAAGTATGGGTCCGTCTCGTTCATCATATACACTAAAAGTAAGTTCCCACCATTTGGAGGCACAAAGCTACATTTCGGACTCCTTACCTCTTCCGGTTCCCAAATTTGGTCCATTTGATGTTCCTCCCTTGGATTGAGACCGTTTCACTCATGTTTCTCCTCATAGTCATGTATAGAACCTATTAATCCATGTTTGGGTAAGTATGGGTCCGTCTCGTTCATCATATACACTAAAAGTAAGTTCCCACCATTTGGAGGCACAAAGCTACATTTCGGACTCCTTACCTCTTCCGGTTCCCAAATTTGGTCCATTTGATGTTCCTCCCTTGGATTGAGACCGTTTCACTCATGTTTCTCCTCATAGTCATGTATAGAACCTATTAATCCATGTTTGGGTAAGTATGGGTCCGTCTCGTTCATCATATACACTAAAAGTAAGTTCCCACCATTTGGAGGCACAAAGCTACATTTCGGACTCCTTACCTCTTCCGGTTCCCAAATTTGGTCCATTTGATGTTCCTCCCTTGGATTGAGACCGTTTCACTCATGTTTCTCCTCATAGTCATGTATAGAACCTATTAATCCATGTTTGGGTAAGTATGGGTCCGTCTCGTTCATCATATACACTAAAAGTAAGTTCCCACCATTTGGAGGCACAAAGCTACATTTCGGACTCCTTACCTCTTCCGGTTCCCAAATTTGGTCCATTTGATGTTCCTCCCTTGGATTGAGACCGTTTCACTCATGTTTCTCCTCATAGTCATGTATAGAACCTATTAATCCATGTTTGGGTAAGTATGGGTCCGTCTCGTTCATCATATACACTAAAAGTAAGTTCCCACCATTTGGAGGCACAAAGCTACATTTCGGACTCCTTACCTCTTCCGGTTCCCAAATTTGGTCCATTTGATGTTCCTCCCTTGGATTGAGACCGTTTCACTCATGTTTCTCCTCATAGTCATGTATAGAACCTATTAATCCATGTTTGGGTAAGTATGGGTCCGTCTCGTTCATCATATACACTAAAAGTAAGTTCCCACCATTTGGAGGCACAAAGCTACATTTCGGACTCCTTACCTCTTCCGGTTCCCAAATTTGGTCCATTTGATGTTCCTCCCTTGGATTGAGACCGTTTCACTCATGTTTCTCCTCATAGTCATGTATAGAACCTATTAATCCATGTTTGGGTAAGTATGGGTCCGTCTCGTTCATCATATACACTAAAAGTAAGTTCCCACCATTTGGAGGCACAAAGCTACATTTCGGACTCCTTACCTCTTCCGGTTCCCAAATTTGGTCCATTTGATGTTCCTCCCTTGGATTGAGACCGTTTCACTCATGTTTCTCCTCATAGTCATGTATAGAACCTATTAATCCATGTTTGGGTAAGTATGGGTCCGTCTCGTTCATCATATACACTAAAAGTAAGTTCCCACCATTTGGAGGCACAAAGCTACATTTCGGACTCCTTACCTCTTCCGGTTCCCAAATTTGGTCCATTTGATGTTCCTCCCTTGGATTGAGACCGTTTCACTCATGTTTCTCCTCATAGTCATGTATAGAACCTATTAATCCATGTTTGGGTAAGTATGGGTCCGTCTCGTTCATCATATACACTAAAAGTAAGTTCCCACCATTTGGAGGCACAAAGCTACATTTCGGACTCCTTACCTCTTCCGGTTCCCAAATTTGGTCCATTTGATGTTCCTCCCTTGGATTGAGACCGTTTCACTCATGTTTCTCCTCATAGTCATGTATAGAACCTATTAATCCATGTTTGGGTAAGTATGGGTCCGTCTCGTTCATCATATACACTAAAAGTAAGTTCCCACCATTTGGAGGCACAAAGCTACATTTCGGACTCCTTACCTCTTCCGGTTCCCAAATTTGGTCCATTTGATGTTCCTCCCTTGGATTGAGACCGTTTCACTCATGTTTCTCCTCATAGTCATGTATAGAACCTATTAATCCATGTTTGGGTAAGTATGGGTCCGTCTCGTTCATCATATACACTAAAAGTAAGTTCCCACCATTTGGAGGCACAAAGCTACATTTCGGACTCCTTACCTCTTCCGGTTCCCAAATTTGGTCCATTTGATGTTCCTCCCTTGGATTGAGACCGTTTCACTCATGTTTCTCCTCATAGTCATGTATAGAACCTATTAATCCATGTTTGGGTAAGTATGGGTCCGTCTCGTTCATCATATACACTAAAAGTAAGTTCCCACCATTTGGAGGCACAAAGCTACATTTCGGACTCCTTACCTCTTCCGGTTCCCAAATTTGGTCCATTTGATGTTCCTCCCTTGGATTGAGACCGTTTCACTCATGTTTCTCCTCATAGTCATGTATAGAACCTATTAATCCATGTTTGGGTAAGTATGGGTCCGTCTCGTTCATCATATACACTAAAAGTAAGTTCCCACCATTTGGAGGCACAAAGCTACATTTCGGACTCCTTACCTCTTCCGGTTCCCAAATTTGGTCCATTTGATGTTCCTCCCTTGGATTGAGACCGTTTCACTCATGTTTCTCCTCATAGTCATGTATAGAACCTATTAATCCATGTTTGGGTAAGTATGGGTCCGTCTCGTTCATCATATACACTAAAAGTAAGTTCCCACCATTTGGAGGCACAAAGCTACATTTCGGACTCACATGTTTCTCCTCATAGTCATGTATAGAACCTATTAATCCATGTTTGGGTAAGTATGGGTCCGTCTAGTTCATCATATACACTACAAGTAAGTTCCCACAATGTGGAGGCACAAGCTACATTTCGGACTCCTTACCTCTTCCGGTTCCCAAATTTGGTCCATTTGATGTTCCTCCCTTGGATTGAGACCGTTTCACTCATGTTTCTCCTCATAGTCATGTATAGAACCTATTAATCCATGTTTGGGTAAGTATGGGTCCGTCTAGTTCATCATATACACTACAAGTAAGTTCCCACAATGTGGAGGCACAAGCTACATTTCGGACTCCTTACCTCTTCCGGTTCCCAAATTTGGTCCATTTGATGTTCCTCCCTTGGATTGAGACCGTTTCACTCATGTTTCTCCTCATAGTCATGTATAGAACCTATTAATCCATGTTTGGGTAAGTATGGGTCCGTCTAGTTCATCATATACACTACAAGTAAGTTCCCACAATGTGGAGGCACAAGCTACATTTCGGACTCCTTACCTCTTCCGGTTCCCAAATTTGGTCCATTTGATGTTCCTCCCTTGGATTGAGACCGTTTCATCATGTTTCTCCTCATAGTCATGTATAGAACCTATTAATCCATGTTTGGGTAAGTATGGGTCCGTCTAGTTCATCATATACACTACAAGTAAGTTCCCACAATGTGGAGGCACAAGCTACATTTCGGACTCCTTACCTCTTCCGGTTCCCAAATTTGGTCCATTTGATGTTCCTCCCTTGGATTGAGACCGTTTCACTCATGTTTCTCCTCATAGTCATGTATAGAACCTATTAATCCATGTTTGGGTAAGTATGGGTCCGTCTAGTTCATCATATACACTACAAGTAAGTTCCCACAATGTGGAGGCACAAGCTACATTTCGGACTCCTTACCTCTTCCGGTTCCCAAATTTGGTCCATTTGATGTTCCTCCCTTGGATTGAGACCGTTTCACTCATGTTTCTCCTCATAGTCATGTATAGAACCTATTAATCCATGTTTGGGTAAGTATGGGTCCGTCTAGTTCATCATATACACTACAAGTAA